TATTATAAGCCGAAACATATTTTTTTCCTATTGTGACAAAACTGTACATTCAAAAATTTTCAAAAAATCCATAAGCCTTTCTTAGAATTATATCTTTATGCTGTAATAAAATTAATAAAATCGCAAGTTTGCTTAAAATTTGTCAAAATACTTCTTGTCATCACATTTTTTTTTTAATTTTTCGAATGTGTAGTTTGTCTTTTGGAAGATACAGATCAACCTTAAATGGAAGTGGGTTTCATTCGTCATCCAAAAATTATGCAGCAAACTGGCGTTTTCATTAATACGCTTCAACATTTGTTCACATAGACGGGTGATATAATTTCGAACTTTAAGGGCTCGCACAATCTGGATTTTGTATGGATGATACCGGAGATCTTTGTGCAAAATTCTACTCGTATAGATTGATTTCAGATTTAAGTGTCGTCCTCGCATGTGTCTTTGAGAACTCGTGTGTAATGAATTTCGCACCGCTTCAATATTCTGTGCTATTAGCCCAGTTCTGCCAGTGCCACCCTTTGTTGCAGCGCAGCCCCAACTGCAGCGCGGGGCACAAAACTTTTATTATTTTTGTAATAAACTTTCACAGCAAATGCGTGTTGTTCACCCTACCACTTCTTCATGTAACCTTTTTTTTTTTTTTTGGACTGAGGTGGAAACGTTCTAAACGGACTAGGGAAGATGTCCCTAGTACTGTTGGACTCGAGCCGGAAGGGACACATGCTAGCGCACGCTACCCAGTGTAGGGCCTCGTGCCCCGCATGCCCCCCTGGCCGGTCGCCTACCAACTAAAACCACCCCTTCTTCGACCCAGGATACCCCCGGACGAGTTCCTTAGAGAACGAAACATGGGGGTATCCTGCGCTGTCTGGGCGGAATGTGCTAGGACTATGCCAAAAATGTCGTACTATTTTCCTATGCTGCTATCCTGATAACGGGTAGCAGATAGGGAAGGTTCGGTTTCCTTACAGGCGAGGAAGATGTAATATAATACTTGTCATTATTAGCCGGGAGTAGTGATGGTGTACACAGACTAATGCGAGAGAGAAAAAGAAAAAAGGAAATATAGTAGAGTACGTGCTTAATGGCTCGTAAGGGCCATCACTTTTTTTTTAAAACTTTATTATCAATACATAGCCCAGTTTATGCGTTGTCAGGTACTTAGGTACTCAGGTTATTATGTTACGCGGCGGTTTTCGAAGCTTGCGCAGCACGTGCCGATAAGTGTAAGTTGGGGGAAGACACCTCCCTCACCTTTCTTGTTCAGCTCTTTCTATCATGGTCTTTCGTTTCATTATCTTTGTGATGTGGTCTATTATGTACTCAAAATTCTGTTTATTAAGCATCGCGATCTGCATTATGTTATTAGGCGTTATCGCTCCTAGCCTGTTCAGCAGCCTATTTTGTTCGGGTGCGAAGACATTACATCGGAAAATGCAATGCTCCGCGTCATCCCTTACGTCGCATGTTGAGCACCTATCATCGTTGGATTTTTTGATAGTATATGTGTAAGACCTGAAAGATCCATGTCCAGTCAAAAACTGTGTAAAGTAGTAGTTCACTCGTTTAAACTTACATTGGTACCACGCCACCACATCAGGGATGAGCGTTTTGGTCCATTGAGCTTTCGTCGTCTGTGCCTCCCATTCCGTTTGCCATTCTGTAAGCATTTGTTCCCTTATGGTAGCTCTAGTCTGTGGGATGTGACCGTTTTGGTTTTCATAGAGCAACTGCCGCTCTCTGGCCAGAAGGTGAATGGGGAGTGTACCCGAGATTGTCTGTAGGGCCATCGTGGACGTGGTTCTGTACGCGCTCGTGACCTTAAGAAGGGGTTTTCTCTGTGCTCTTGTTAACATATCCTTATACTTTTTATATCTAAGGACATCGATCCAGACAGGGGTTCCATATAGGAGGGTCGACTGCACAATGTGTAGATAAAGTCTTCTCTTGTTGCTGCTTGGCCCTCCTAAGTTTGGTATTATTCGCTGGATGGCTGCTGTCTGTGCTTCCGCCTTCTTGGTCACTCTTAAAAGATGGCTTGAGAAACGCAAGCCTCTGTCCAAATCTATACCTAAATATTTAGCACAGTTTGTTGCTTTAAGCTCATTGCTACCTATCCGGAAGATCAATTCCGGTCCATCTCTCGGGGCTTTAAGGATGACTGCTTCGGTCTTTCCACCCGACAATTCTAAGTCATTATTCTTCATCCACCTATTTACTTTATCAAAGCAGTTGTTTACTGCATCGACAACTTCCAAATAATTGTCACCCGTTGTTAAAATGGCTAGATCGTCAGCATAGGCTATTGCCATGCTATTTCTACCGTAGTCTATGTCCAGTACCCCATTATATAACACATTCCATAACGTCGGGCCTAGTACGGATCCTTGTGGTACACCGGCTGTCAGACTGATTTCTACATTTTTTGCCACAATTAGGTGTCTATCACTTAGATATCTTTTTATGATATTTACCAGGTATGCCGACACCTCGGCGATCTCTAGTCTATTAATGATGTGAGCCCAGTTTGCGGAATTAAACGCGTTCTTCACATCAAACATTGTTAAGACAGCCCATCTTCTTCTTGTGTTTTTTACGGTGTCTGTAATATGTTTGACCGCATCTATCGCCGACCTTGATTTCCTAAATCCATACTGTCTATTCGAGATGATGTCTTTTTCACTCAACTCCTCTTCGAGACGATTTTTAATAATGTGTTCATATAATTTCCCCATGCAGTCTAAGAGACAAATCGGTCGATAAGAGTTGGCTTCGTCCGGATCTTTGCCGGGTTTCGGTATGAGTGTCAGTCTCGCACGTTTGAGGTCTTCGGGAAACTCTTGTCTCACAAGCAGCTGATTAAAAATACCTATTACCGTTTCTGGTTTTAGCATTGTGATTAATTTGATCGCCTCTGGTGGCACACGATCTGGTCCAGGGGATTTACCTATCTTAATGGACTCTGCGGCTCTGGTGAATTCTGCAGTACTAATGCCTGCCGGACAGATCTGTTCATTCTGTATGAAAGGTGTAATCGGTTTTGTGGGAAAGAGGGTACACACAATTTCCCGTCTTTTATCGTAGCACAAATCGTACGGGGTCTCGGATCTCAGCGTTTTTGTGGCCATTTTGTACGCTTGGCCCCATACATCGTTTTCCAGCGCCTCGCATAGGTTCTTCCAACAGGTACGCTTGGCTCTTTTTATCATTTTATTTAATTCTTGTTTAGCGCTTTTTGTATTCCTCCTTGGTCTGCTGAGTCCTCTCTCTTTGTGCGATCCGCCTGATTCTCAGGCATTCTGCCCGTTTTAGTTGTATTTCGTCGTTCCACCAGTACGGTACGGTATATGTGACATATTTGCTCTTACTGCTTAGTCTGTGTGCTCTAATGATCGCGTTTCTAAAGGTGGGAAAATCAGTAGCTTCTTCTTGTAAGTTTCTTATATTTTCAGTAAATTTTACTTTATTGAAAACGAGTGTCCTTCTGCCTTTTCTGGTGTGCCTTAGTGCAATCTCGAAGGTGATGTATTTGTGAAAAGTGAAAATATTATCCTCTAATACATCCCAGTTGTTTATTTTGTTGGCGTAATGATTTGATGCTAGGGTAACGTCTATATGACTCCGTGATACTCCTCTTTCAAAAGTATGTTTACCATTATTCAACACTACTAAGTCGGCCGTGGAAATCCATTCATTCCATATTTCCCCTTTATTGTCATTTCGTGGGGACCCCCAAAGAATGGATTTGGCGTTTATATCACCAACGATTATAAAGTGTTTCTCTGTAAGTGACGCCTCAATGATATTGTCTACCTTCTCTCGGTATAGTGTAATGTTAATGTTAGGTGAGATATAACAGGCTATTATTGATACGTCGTTCATGTTTACCTTAACGAAACCTTCTTTCTTCGTTATCTTCCTGATTTGCACACGTTTGTTCATTAAGTAGATGGCAACATCTGACCGTGTATCGGTAACCCAACCAAATTTCTTAACGATATTCACATTTGGTTCGGGGATAATTATAAGATCTGCATTTATTGCTAAGGCTTTAGCGTAAATCAGGTCGTGCGCAACCTTGGCCCTACCGATGTTCACTTGCAGGATCTTAAGTGTCTTCAACCTGTTCGAAGCCATTTTGGAGTTTATACCGCTAGCCGTTTAGGTCACTTGGTGAGGGGGGTTTCTTCAACCTATCCGCACAGGTCAATGACCGCGCTCGCCTGAGGGGTTGGAGAGGTAGGGGCAATTGGGTCCCTATCCGAGGGGGGAGGAGGGAGGGAGTTCGAACGCCAGCGCGAAGAGACCTTAACACGCGTGAGTTCTTCCGCCGTGTCCTCGCATAATGAGTTAAATTCCTCCATTAACGAGGAGAAAGCAGCGCCGTTAAATACATCATCGTCCATTTTTCCCCGCTCGTCTCCAGAGCTTCTTCATGTAACCTAAACTTCACACTCTCTAGATTCAGAGCGTTTACAACGCAAGTTCGCGGCTTCTATATTTTTCGTCATAAGGTTACATAATCGTGACGTTTCACTGCATTACGTGTTACAATAGTACAGACATAACCGTAAGACTATACAAAGAAAGAAAATATAAAAAAATCAAAAGAGAAATAAGACAAGCAAACACTTTATTTCATCTTTCAAACTCTTTACGGTAGTTCTGTAACATGCTAATTGGAGTGAGACACCAAAAGAACCAATGTCGACTAAGAAATGCACTCCCACCTACGATGTAATTCTGATAACAGATAACTTAAAAGAGACGTAAACTATGCTTACTGAGTTAGTTGCGGCCTGTAAGGAAGTTGGTTTGAACACAAATTTTGGAACATGACAAATTTGGTGCCAAGCGAAAATCCAATAGTTGACTGAAACGCCATGAATGTCAAAAAATTCAAAACCAAATGTAAAATGTAATTCTCATTACAATATTCGCACAGTTCATGTTCAGTTTTATGGCATATGTATGTAAGGGTATTAAGAAAATGACATTTGTTTCATTTTTAAATGCGTGTATTTCTTACTAATATAAGATATTTAATAAGTATCATGTGGAGGGGCTCCTTGAAGTCTATAAACTTTATCATAAAATGCCATGTTAGCTTCAAATGGATTGTATTTTACTTCTAATTTATTTGAAATATCCAAATAGGGGAGTTTCCTTATATTGCTGGTACTTTTTTGCCATATCACGTTTTGAAGCAGTCCATCTTTTTTTGGAGTCGGTTCACTAAAAGGAACATAGTATAATATTCTACGCAAAGAATTACTTACTTTATATAAATGTACATATATATATATATATATATATATATATATATATATATATATATATATATATATATTATATATATATATATATATATATTTATATATATATTATATATATATATATATATATATATATTATATATATATATATATATATATTATTAATATATATATATATATTATATATATATATATTAGAATAATAATATATATACAAGAAATTAGCATAGTAATATTATGATGTTTAATTAATAAACTTACTTAAATAGTGGTTAAAGAAATAATTTATAAGTTATATATATATATATATATATATATATATATATATATATATATATATATATATATATATATATATATATCTATATATATATATATATATATATATATATATATATATATATAATAAAACAATTTATTGTGTTGGAATATCGGGTATGCGGTCTGTTATTATTAAAAAAAGACTCTTTTTTCTTTTAATCCTCTATATTTCGCTGATTTTTTGTCAGCTTCATCAGGAGACAACTAAAAATTTGAATAAAAGTTATAAATATAAAAATCAGTTTGAATAAAATGTGGCTCACTTACAGATTTAGAGTGGAAAGTATTTAAACAAGTTGAACATAATTTGTTCAAAACAGTACTGACAGTTTTTGTTAAAAGTACCTAGGTCACTAGTAATTAAATGTAAAAATATAAAAACAGAGCAAACAAAAACAACGAAACAATTAAAACACAATAAAATTACACATTAAAAATATACAGGGTGATTTAAAATAGAATTGTTAACAGAAAAATTATTTAGACATACTAAGAATATTACAGTAGATATTGCTCAACTGTCCCGTGTCCGCCTTGTAATTTACTGTATAGTTTTTTCTATTTATATGACACATTTCCAAAAACAATCTTTTTTTATAATTATTTTCTTGCTGTAAAACCCTGACATTTGAGTAATCAAATTGATGGCCAGTTTTTAAGTGATGGTCAACTGCCGCACATGTGTTCTTCCGTTTTGTGCAGTCACTTTTGTGTTGGGTGACCCTTTGTTTTAGCCATTGAGAAGTTTGGCCAACATAACAGCTGACAGTTTTTAGTTGTCTCCTGATGAAGCTGACAAAAAATCAGCGAAATATAGAGGATTAAAAGAAAAAAGAGTTTTTCTTTAATAATAATAGACCGCATACCCGATATTCCAACACAATAAATTGTTTTTTTACGTTTCGGTCGATAATCTTACCAGTTTTGCTATATATATATATATATATATATATATTATATATATATATATATATATATATATATATACTAGCGAATATTATTAAAAAATAATTATATGAGGGTATTTTTGAAAATTTAGCATAGGATAAGTTAGTTTAAAAAGTTTTTTATTTTATTTTATTTTATAAATAAATATATTTAAGTGAGCCATGTGCATAGGCAACCAAATATACACTGTGTTATTAGACAATTTGGATAGTTGCGGATGTGAAGAGGGGCTATTTATTAGTTTGGGATGTTTTAATATAATTACGGAAATATAATTACGGATGTAAAATAGTGATAATGTATTAGTTTAAGATATTTAGTTTATATATAATAGTGTATTCTGATCTGAAAACCTAAATGTCCATATGATCCTCACTAGAATTTTCTGGAAAATGTCAATATAGAAGCCAGTTAGCAATATTTGCATAGTCGATTATTCCAGAACTTTCATTATATGGATGAGATTTTTGAACATGATTTATTGCTAGAACAGTCTGGAACGATAAAATGATATAAATACCAGGTAATTTGGAGCAGGCAGGCATTAAGTTACAGTTACTAAGTCAGTTACAGTCAATTATTAAGTTAGTAGAAGGCATTAATTAAGTGAGATGAAGTCAGTCAGTCAGTTACAATTAAGTCATTAAATTAGATTCATCAAGAAAGTTAGTTCAAGACAGTTATAATTAAATTAAGTTAGAACAAAGGATAAACTCAGAAGAATTCATTAAGTCAGATACAGTTGGAGAGTATGATAGTAAATTAAAAGTCATTGAATTAGATTCATCAAGAAAGTTAGTTCAAGACAGTTATAATTAAATTAAGTTAGAAGAAAGGATTAAGTTAAAAGAATTCATTAAGTCACATAGAGTTAGAGAGTATGAGAGTAAATTAAAAGTCATTACATTAGATTCATCAAGAAAGTTAGTTCAAGACAGTTATAATTAAATTAATTTAGAAGAAAGGATAAACTTAGAAGAATTCATTAAGTCAGATACAGTTGGAGAGTATGATAGTAAATTAAAAGTCATTAAATTAGATTCATCAAGAAAGTTAGTTCAAGACAGTTATAATTAAATTAAGTTAGAAGAAAGGATTAACTTAGAAGAATTCATTAAGTCAGATACAGTTGGAGAGTATGAGAGTAAATTCATTCAATATAGATAGTTCAATACAGTGATAGTTAATTATTAGTACAGTAATACAGTGACAGTATGGAGTTAATTCATTATGAAGTTAAGCAGTCAATAGTACAAGAACATAGTATATAGTATATTTGAAAATATATTATATGGAGATTACAAGAATTTTAAATTATAATATCTATATGCAATTTCACAAATACAAGGATAACCAAGGCTGATTAAGAAGATATTTAGTGGTGATTATAACTTGGATTTTGGAAAACTTTAGGCATTCAGTGATAGAAAGGTACCAAATTTTGTTAATATAATTTAATAATTGTAAGAATTTCAAATTTTAGATAGGGTATTTTAAATTTATATTGTTTATATTAGATATATATGTCTGTTTCATAATAGTTATAATAAAGATAATTTAAAAAAATACTTACAAACTAATTCTTCGAGAACCGCGATAAAAACCCTATACTCATATATTTTATTTTAAACACTCATTGCTCATATACAAACAAAACATCATAACAATTTATATATATATATATATATATATATATATATATATATATATATATATAAATTTATAAAAGTGCACTCGTAAGTGAATGGGATGTTTTCGGTCAATTTGGAGATAAAAAAGATAAGAGTTTTGCTACTTTATGTATTTAATAAAGACGTTTCGCCCACTGTTTTATGGCCATCATCAGTTCATCTAAAAGAGTGTTATTAGCGGTACATCTAATATGAGAAACAATTAAGTAAATAATCTTACCTTTAAAAGATCTTTTGCATTAAATTTTTATTAAATTGAAGAAACATAAAATACGGCAAACATTAATCTAATATATAAATCAGCAATAAAACAGTATCACAGAACGTCGGAAGATTCCCAATTTATGTAATTTTTAATTTAACATTTGATAACATTGATTGATTATAAAATCTATCAGAAAACATGTAATTGTCAATTTTGAAATATTATATTAGCAACGGCAAGGCTCAGGGTTTTAGACTGTTAAAACCATAACATGCGAAATGAAGTATTAAAACGCCAGAAAGAATATATAACTATCTGAATGAGTATAAACTGGGACACTTGTCCAATTTACGAAATAATGCTTAGATTATGATATAATAAAAGAAACTGAAGAAGAAACCAATTATTAAAAGTAGAATACGGAAAAATCAATTTTGTAGTATTAGTGCATGGTAAATTTGGCTAAAGTTGCTGATATCAGTTCTCTTATTATTTAATGCATTAGGTTGTTTCAAAATATGACACATCTCCAATATATATATATATATATTATATATATATATATATATATATATATATATATATATATATATATATAAGAATCATAATAGGATCAAGGATATAAATCAAGGATCAAGGTTTTTCGGTCAAAAGGTGGAGAAAAAAGAAAAAGAAGGTGGCTACTTCATCAATTTATAAGAACCATAGAAAGGTCAATATAAACGTGTTACCACATAAAGGCATGTATCAATCAATGGTATACCATGTAAAGAAGCTTAAGACATTAGCCATTAGACAGTTAAGTTGTATAAACAATTAATTATTTATACAACTTAACTATTTAATGTCTAATGTGTTTGGAGAATTAGACTGTTTACGGGATTACAATCCGGAGACTAAATCAGTGTTCATCAGGAAACATCGCAGAGAGTGAATCAAAAAGGTCAGTTAAATTATTTGTGAAATAAGCGTTGTATTTGTACCATATATTTTTTTAATACATATCATAAAGTAATTGATTAAAAAGAATTGAATTCACAAATCAGATAATTAGCACATAATAAAATTTTGTTCGTTTTTTAAGAAAGTTAATTAGCACAATTTTTACAGTGAATTAAATAACTTGGTTGAAAAAGGAGATAACAAAATGAAGTTTTCTTTTGTTCTGAGGAATAGATAATAAATTGTACACGATCTATATTTTTATATTTCTACATGGTATTAAAATAAATGATGTTTTTTCAAGTTCATAAATTGTGTATATTATAATATTTACTCTCCTTGTCTATCCTAAAGAAAGCCAGCATCCAGAAAATACTAGAAGCCACGAATTAAAGGTAAAATATTTTTGTTTGTAGTAAAGAACCCTGAGAAATTTAATTTAATTTAATTTGATTCAATTTAAATTTAACTTATGACAAAAGTCTGTGACAAATTATTAACAAATGTCTGTGACAAGAAATAAAAGCAAAGAAAACAAAAAAAAAAGAAGAAAATTTAGAACAAGAAGACATGTTAGAAACAACAATATTATAGAGACAGAAAGTCAGGAGAAATCAGGAATAGAGAAAATTTTACAACTTATACAGTTACAAGGACAACAATTGGATAAAACAAAACAAACAATAAAAAAAATCAACAGGAAACAAAACAAGCAATCAAAGAAATTGATAAAAAAAATGCATGTAGCAAAACAGATAGAACAACGTCTAGAAAATTTTGGACCGGAAATTAAAAGATGTGACGAGGGGATAAAAAAATAAATGGTACAACAAATGGAAGAAGTGGAGAAAA